GGGGACTGCAGGTGCCCCCTCCCTTCGAGTTTCACTGCCGGAGTAGCCCAAGTCAAAGAAGGGGTGATGGCGAACAACTTTCCTCAGCCTAATCCATCAACGTTGTTTGTACTTAGACTCGGTACCTAACTCCACCCTTTCCAGAGGCATTAACAAACACAACAATCAACGAGAATGACAAGGATCGGGTGGCTGGAAGCTGCTTCAAGTGAAACAAGAGAACTGTTGTTTGTTTTTAGCTCCGGCGAAGAAGAATAGGCGAGGAAGGAAAAGTGTGTGAGAGAGAGAGAGAAAGAGAGGTGGGGCCCTTTAATTAAATAATTATATTTTTTTCTTTTTTTTTTAATAGAGAAAACCTCATAAATAGTCCTTGGGTATTGAAATGACGAAAATGCCCCTCACTTAACGGCAGAAAGCTGACGGAGTTAGGCGGAAGGACTAAACATTAAAAGTTTTGAAACCACAGGGACGATCCGTGAGGTTTTTTGAACTTAGGGACTAAACTTGATATTTTCGGAAACCACAGGGACCATTTTTGAGGTTTTGTCTATATTGAATCTTGAAACTAAATTGAAAGTCTGAAACAACTCCTTTAATGGATGAATCATCTCTCAGAAACAAAAGAAAGTTAGAGGTAATATCATTGATAGGTAATACAAAAACTAAACAACCTGAACACATAATTGATATATGAGTACATATAAAAAAGAAATCGCACAATAGAATTTGAGAACATTAGACATATGAGAATATTAGACCTATGAGATTTTTCAACAATTAGTTCTAAAATTACATTTACAAAATTCTTAAGTTAGGAGCTTGTCAGGCTATTCTAGACTAATTGAAGTATACATCAAACAATACCAAAAAAGGAACTGATTATCAAACTTTTGAAAGGGATCCATTTGTGAGAGCCAAAAAAATAATTGTGAACAAACAAATGAAAACAGAGAGAAGGGTTACCTTGACAGTGAGTGAAAGAGAGGACAATTCGTTGTCGGATCTTCCGCCTGGGCTAGCCTTACCAAAAGCCATTCATGATATTAGACAAAATAACAAATGAAAACAAAATCAAACCCAAATCTTACATTGTTGTCAGAGTTCGTGGCTCTAGAGAGAAGGAGGGAAGAGCGTCGATGATGCTGTGTTAGATTACGTTTTTTTAGAAAGAAGGTTTAGAGAGAAAAGTAAAGTGCAGAGGTCCTTGTGCATAGACATAGAGAGAGTATGGTGGTCTGTTTGTGGATATAGGTGTCGTGCGGTGCTATTAGAAAGAAATAGAGAGGGTTATTGTGGGGGGACGACGGTGTTAGGTCGATATTGGTCAGATCTAGATTTTGGTCAGGTCAATAGCGGGGTTTACGATTAGTATCCATTCCATTCGAAGCACCAAACACATAAATAAAAAGAGATAATAAAGCAGTTTTACCTCTTTTGAGTCGAGTGAGTTGCACGGATGACCATCTTCATCCATCTGATAAGAGAGACCTGGAGGTAAAGTTAAAGGAGAGTGATGGCGGCTTTGAGGTGGATGGTATGCTGGCTTAGGGTTTCTGGAGAGGATTTAGAGAGAATGAGAACTTCTATTTCAATTTTTGAAATGTAAAATGATGGTGCGGGAGGATGAAAT